CTGTTGTTTGGACTAGGTGGTTCTGGTCTCAGGTCTGTTGTTTGGACTAGGTGGTTCTGGTCTCAGGTCTGTTGTTTGGACCAGGTGGTTCTGGTCTCAGGTCTGTTTGGACCAGGTGGTTCTGGCCTCTGGTCTGTTTGGACCAGGTGGTTCTGGCCTCTGGTCTGTTGTTTGGACCAGGTGGTTCTGGTCTCAGGTCTGTTGTTTGGACCAGGTGGTTCTGGTCTGTTTGGACTGGACCAGGTGGTTCAGGTCTGTTTGGACCAGGTGGTTCTGGTCTGTTTGGACCAGGTGGTTCTGGTCTCTGGTCTGTTTGGACCAGGTGGTTCTGGTCTCAGGTCTGTTGTTTGGACCAGGTGGTTCTGGTCTCAGGTCTGTTGTTTGGACCAGGTGGTTCTGGTCTCAGGTCTGTTTGGACCAGGTGGTTCTGGTCTCAGGTCTGTTTGGACCAGGTGGTTCTGGTCTCAGGTCTGTTCCTGCCTCTCTTCTAACGTTAAGCTCCGACCCATGAAAGTGTACAAAGTAAATATTTTGCTAACACCGACGCCCCGGGATGAGCCAGCCCTCTCCCCGGAGCTCGGCGGCTCCTGCCCGGCTGCAGCAGCCCGACAGAGCCGCTCCTGTCACGGTAAACAAGCGGAGTTAGCCTCGGAGCTAACGGGAGCTAAGGAGCGACGGAAGCGAACACCGAACCGCCTCCACTGAACGCGACACCACCGTGTCTGCGGGTTCCGGCCTCCAGCTGACGGTAAACCCGCCGTGCCCAGGCGGAGGGCCACTCACGCACGGTGCGCACGGTTCTCGGGAGCCCCGCAGAGGCCTCTCGCGCTCCGGCCGCCGTGTCGCGCTCACCCTGGTGGAGCTGATGTCCATCATGACCTCCTGGAAGGCGGCCGTCTCCTCGGCCTGCCGCTGTGTGTGCAGCGCGATCTTCTCGCTGAACTTCCGCGGGTTGGACGTCCCGGACCCGGTCCCTGAGCTGGGTCCGGGTCCCGGCCCGCCTGAGCCCGTCGCAGACATCTTCACCGAGCGGACCGGACAACTTGACGTAGTGGAACGATTCTAAGCAAAGATCAGCGGGAAAGAAGATGTCTCACTCTGAGCTATGTTCTGAAGACCGTTTCCTTCTGTTGTAGTTTTATGTGTGTGGCAAGTAGTTTAAGTTGAATGTGGCTGTTTGGGGTCGCACTTTCCTTCATATTGACTCAGTTTGGGATCCAGTCGCGGGTGTTTGTTCATTTTATGGTTTAATGTCTTTATTTTTAGAGATTTTCAGGTGAAATATTAATAAATCTGCTTGTCCTGATGCTCAATGATCCAGGTAGATAAATCTAAAAAAGTCAGGTTGTCTGGACGGATTCTTCTTGTGAAAATGTTTCGTCTCTCATCCTGAGGACTTCCTCAGTCTGAGGTGCTGTATTCAGCTCAGTCTCTTAAATAGCACCTTCTCAGAGTGGATCAACCAGTTTTGCTGCTGACAACCAGAACCAGCTGATCACATGCTCAAGAAGGACCATCAGCCTAACAATGGATCATTAGCACCTGATGGCTGTTTACTGTTCACAGAGGGCTGAGTGATACTAGCAATCACAGCATTGTAAGAGGGGGACAGTTGAACCTGGAGGCTCCACCCCTGTTTAATGATGGACGGTTTCTTTTCACAAAGATGGCCTCCTTTACTCCTCTCTCAAACCATCGTTCCTCTCTGTCCAGGATGTGAACATCTTCATCCCTGAAAGAGTGACCTCTGACCTGGAGATGAGTGTAGACCTCAGAGTCCTGGCCTGATGATGATGAGCAGGAGCTTCTTGTCTTGCATGAAGAACAGAAGATACATTTAACTACAATCTGACAACAAACTTGGAGTAAATGGGAGTAATTTAAAAACTAGAAGCTATAAATACATTTAACAATTATTTTGTATACTTACTTATAGATTTACATTTATTGCAATAAAACATAATTTACATAGTGTGAATTTAAGTGGTTTCTATTCTAACAATTTTTTAACAGTGAAATGTGATGAAGATTTTATCCAGTGAAATGAGTGACCCATCTGTCCGGTCTGGGCGATCTTTGGATGATATAAGGCGGTGTTGGCGTGCCCCCTGCAGGTGGAGTTCCACCTCTGCAGGCTAATGGAGGAAGATCTGGACCTGCACACTTCAGGTCTTCATCTCCTCACTCATTCTTCACCACAATAAAAACATAATTTAGCTGCAAGAAACATTCAGTGTTTAATAAACCCCGCCAAAAATAAATAATAAAAACTGCAACTCTGTACATCACCCTTGTTCTTAAAAATGGCCACCAGCACTTCTTCTCCATTCCTCAGACATTTTCTCACCCTCAAATATGCCACTGAATATTTGAGTTAAAACCTCACTGCCATCTCTCCAAGACATTTCCAAACCTCCACTGGTCATCAGGTCCTACTGCCTTTCCCTTCTTCATTCTCTTCAGAGCTTTCTGGACTTCACCCTCACTAATCTTTACCACTTCCTGGTCCACAGTTTCTATGACCTCTACTCTTCTTTTGCTTTCATTCATTAGCTCCTCAAAGTACTCCTTCCATCTTCCCGTCACACTCTCCTCACTTAGAACATTAACATCCCTATCTTTAACAAGCTGCACATCCTTTCCAGCCTGATCTCTCTGTCTCACCAGTTGGTACAAGTCCTTCTCGTCCTCTTTAGTGTCCAGCCTCACAAACAACTCATCGTACGCTCTCTCCTGCCACAACCTTACAGTCTCCAATCTCCCTCAGGTTTCCTCTTCTGCACAGGATGTAGTCGACCTGCGTACTCCTTCCTCCACTCTTATAGGTCACTCTATGCTCCTCCCTCTTTTGGAAATACAGTAGTCCTTCGTTTATCATGGGGGATCTGTACCCCGAAGCCCCGTCTTTTAAAAGAGCCTTAAAATATAAAATTATAAAAGCTTATGGAGATGTTATGTAGATGTATATATGTATTGTGTAAGCATGTACTGTAATGTATGTGTATGTATTATATACATGCATATTTAAATACTTTAATATACGGTAAATGTCTGTGTAATATATGTAATATATATATATATATATTACATATATATATTACATATATATATATATTACATATATATATATGTAATATATGTAATATATATATATTGATTGATTGATTACTTTATTCATCAGACTTGTAGTCCACAAAAGCAT